CGGTCTGGTGCTCTAACTGTCTGCGTGTAGCTCAAATTTTGCTGAATTAATTTGGATAAAATTTTATATGTGAGTTTATCTCGATTGTGTCATAGATTGATCAACTCCTAGAATATGTTAGGACTTTGGGGAACAAGATTTTTGTGCGGGCCGATTTTATAGTTTTGTGCATATAGAGAAAAATATTCCTTGAAATTCAATATTTAAATTCGAGGTGTTAAAACAATGGACTATTATTTTTTTTTTGGAAAGATCAGGGCACGGAGATAAACATGGGCCAATGTTTTTACCACCTACACAGAACTAATTGATGGAATTTCTTGAAATTTGATTTTTGAGTACTAGTTTTTAACGAAACTAACTGATAAAATTTTTAGGAAAATCGAATGGCACAAAGCGAAATTCCGCCAAGAGCCAATTTTAACAATTTTCTAGCTACCTTTTAAAAAACCTTGTTAACTCCCTTAAAACTGAAAGGAAGTGTTCGTGGCAATACACAATGCGGTCGGTTATGTGCTGTCCACTTCAATTTTTTTTTATATTTGTTATCCTTTTTCTTTATTTTTATTTTGGAACAATAACTTTTCATAGGCTTTTTTTTTTGGAATGGATTAGAAATGTCAGCAACTTGATTTATGACTTTTTATTTTAACATTTAGTTTTCCTTTTTTTTTTTGCTTTTAATACACTTATGTTAACAAAATAATATTTTATATTGGTGTATGCTATATATATATGTATGTTAGTATGTGCATATTATGTATGCTTATGTTAAGTATATAACGTGTGTTGATTTCAGTGTATATGTTGATATTATAATCATTTATATAGGTTTGTTTTATGTCTATTTAAATTAGTTATCATTTTAATAAATAATATGGAAAAAAAAATTTTTTTTTTAAAGGAAATAAACTTTGCCCAATTCAATGGATTGTCTATCATTTTTTGTTTTTTTTTGTAATATGGATTAAAATTTTACATTATAAGATAAATTTAAATAGAAATATTTATTCAACTTTATGTTTAGAAATAATTTGAGAGACAGGCAAATATATTTTATATGTTATTAATTTTTTATAATGAACAGCGTTCCAAACAGGCATATTTAAGAATTTTTGGCTCAGTTTTTGTGCGATTTCCATCTGAGACAGGGATATTTAAGAATTTTATTAATCCACTTTATTAGCGAGATATGCAGAGATAATTAAGAATTTTATTCCTTTTCTTAATTAAATTTTATTGCGCAGAATCGTGCTTAATAATTTTCTTCGTCGTACACTTTATTTGCATTTTAGACAAATATAAGTGAGAATTTTGCTTATTTATCACTAAAATAGCCTTTCAGAATTCATTTAATTGAAATATTGTTTCAGACAGGCACACTTAAGAATTTTACAATTTACTTTATTTGAGTTCCACAGAGGCAATTTTTCATGTTTTATAAATTGTTAATAAAAAACGCGGTCGTTTCAGGATATTTGAGCTTGGCGAACATTTTTTTGACTTCTTTTCAATTTTATAGAAAATGTAAAACACTCCATTAGAGAAATGAACTCTACATTAATACTATTATTTTGATAAACCCTTCCACTTCTCTTCTTTTTTTATAATTCAATCAAATAGCAAGGTTATGATAAGTAACAATGCCTACATTTTTCTTTGAATTTCTTAAAACTTTTTAATAAACATATGACTATTTCAATTACTTATTCAATTAATTCTAAATCATATTAATATTTTTGATATTGCATACCTATAGAAGCGTAAATATTAATTTAATTCGTGAAGATACTTGCATCATAGCCTCTGTCTGACAGACTTTTTCGAATCAAACAGTCCGAGGAGTATTCTACGCTACGGGAAATTAGGATTGGTGTACTTCAAGGTAGTGTCGTTATTGTGAAGTACAAATATTTTACTACTAATATTATGCTAACGGTAAAAAAATTATACCGTTAATTTAATTCATTATTTAAATATTTATACAAGCTTTTATGTTTATTTTAAAAACAGGGCATACAAGAACAGAAGAAAGGGGATTTTGACAGCAAATTATAAACAGGACATTTTATTTACCTTATTAACACACATAATAAATATGTACTCGTATACCTACATAATGTATGTAGTCGGACAGGATATAAAATTTGGAATATTTATATAGTTAAAAAATTTTATTTCTAATTTAAAAAAATAAAAAAAAATTGACTTTTTTTTTATATACAAAAAATGTATATAAACAAATGTTTATTTATTTTTATGTATAACTACTGAAAAATTTATGTATATAATAGTATTCTGTAGTTCAGAAGCTTAATGTATATGTGTGTATACAAAATAACATTAAAGAGTATAGATTGCGTATCCTTTTTTTTTGTTGGTATTATTTGTTTTTCTTTCGGGTCCATAAATTCTCATGTTAAATCAATAAAAGGACATTAAACATATATGCTTATTTTATGTATGTACATATATGCTTATATTGATGTATTTTTTAAAAATATACATACTTACAAATTATATTTTCATTTATATCTAAAATATTTTTATAAAATGTGCGGTCTCTAATGTCCTTTATTTGGTTTTTCTGTAATTGTTATGGTTTTAGTGTAGTGTTATGTTGAAATTTTTTATGTTTCTTAAATTCCTTGTTTTTCTTCTCTTTTTTTTTTTTAATAATAAAAAAATTTCCTTGGGAAAATTTTATATAAAGATATAAGAGTGTATAACAGTATAAAATAATAAAACAATAGTTTTGGTTCATTCATTTAGCATTTATTTTTTACTACCTTCCAATTAAATAAAAAATTCTTCCTTTTTGTATACGAAACGCATATGTACAAAAATAATGATGTGTGTGTGTGTATATATTGGAGCCAAGAAAATAAGGAAAACAAAAGGGTAATTGTGACTTTTATTTTAATAAATAGAGGAGATAAAAACAAAGAAAAACCAAAAAGAATAAGGAAAAAGAACAAAGGATTTGAGATGAAAAATTTCAGTTTTGTTTAAAAATTGTATGTGTGTGTCTGTATGTGTGTTTATGATTAAAATATAAAGTTTTGATTTTAAATTAAAAAAAAAAAAATTTTGTTTTTTATAATTTCTTATTTTTTGGTTTTTGATTTTTATTTTTTCGGAAAATTCATTTCATGCTTTTGAGCATATAATATGTGCGTTTAAAGAACCATAGAAATAAAAAAAAATTTTTACATATGTATACCTTGTATATATAGAATGTAAATAAAAGGTATACAGGGTTTTTCAATATTCTCGGTATTATTTCAGATATTTCATTAATAACATTGAGTTGGAATTCGAATCCATTACTAGTAGTATTTAAAGCTTGCCGCTTGAGCAAATTAAAGCTAAATTACATTAGAGTTTAATTCACCACTTTATTAGTAATTTCAATTGATAATATTTCATTTAAAATTCAAAGCATTTCATGTGTTCCAAGGAAGTTCCGTTTCAAGGAAAATGCCATTATCGTTTCAAGTATATGTAAAATTTTGTAGTCAGAAATTCCGAATTTACAGGAAATCCGAAATTTCCAGATTTTATAAAAGTAATATAGTTTAATCTAAACTACATTACTTTTATAAAATTGTTTAACTCAATATATAACTTTAAAATTTTAATCAATTCCGATAACAGTAACTATTATTATTAATACTGTTTGCGCTCATGCCCGGCTTTGGCACTGGGTAGGCAAATGTTTCTTAGTTTGCACTTTTTTATGCTTACTACGGATCTGGCGAATGCAAGACGTCACAGATTTAAGCCAGTTTGCAAATGACTCGGGCTAGTTCAGATGAGGGCGAGGATATGGAAATCCGACAGTATCACAACGGGCTTACGTGGCAAAAGTGTATCTTCTGATAACCGCGTCAAACTAATCTAACCTAGCCCTACTATTAAAACAAAATTTCCATAATATTGTATAACAATATAACAGAGAGAGAATCTTAATGAAATATCCTTTATTTTTTTACTACTTATAAATTATTCTAATATTTAAACATTTTAATTTTATCTCTTTATTATATTATTAAAAATGTCAAAGATTTAAAATTTTCTAATAAATAAACTGTTTTTTTTTTAGTTTTATCTACACATACATATATATTTATATATAATACAAACATTTGTATGTATATTAACAAATATTTTATGTTCATTATTAGAAAATTTTGAGGTTCCTTTAAAACAAAGACATTTTCTGTAAATATTTAAAAAAAACAAAAAACAAAAATAATAAATTTTTTTTTTCTATGTTATTACAAAATAAATCGTTTTCTGGTTCAAAAAACATAGGGATTGAAAATAATTTTTTCTGCATTAGTAAGTATGTATGTAAGTATATTTAAATATAGTTCTTATACTTAATATTGTTTCTTTGTTTAAAAAAAAGAGAGGTTTCTGATTATTACACAATATTTTTTTTTTTGGGAATATTGTTAAAAATTATTATCCATTTTTTTTCTCTATTCTTCTCTTATTTTAATTGTGGTAATACTAAAGTATTATATTTTATGTATATACCTACATTGTATAACAATTTTGTATATAATTTATTATAATAAAAATGAAATATCTTTATTTGTTAAGTGTAGTAAGATAATATGGGCCCATAACTGTATTACACTTTAATTATATGGTCCATACTCCCTATGTGTGTATGCAATAAATATTTGGGAATTAAAATAATGAAGAAGTTTTAATAAAATATCTAGTTTAATATTTTTGACATTGAACTTGGAGATAATTTAGTTTTATATTAAGGTGTAAGATACGTTTTATTAAAGGTCAATTATAATTAGAAATTAAGGGATTAGCTACCTAGCAATAGGCTTAAAATTTAACCTGCAATTAAATTGTTATTCTTATGAGGTTAAATTTTAAGAATGTAAGGAGAATATATGAGAGCTTAGTCAATAATAACATTTTCATTGGATATTTAGCTTTAAGCTGTTTGTTTTATAAAAAAATTAACTTACAAATTGATGAATTCTGGTATTGAGTAGATCCTTACCTGTAATTATGAAAAAAAAAACAATTTATTAATAAAATTATTTTTAAAAAAATAAATTGTTATTAAGTATATGAAAGTTTTACAAAAATTAAATTTTTGTTTTCGAATTAAAAATGATTTGTAAATGATTTACTTAAGTGTTTCTGTTTTGTTTATTTAAAATTAGGTCGTTTTAAGCTCATAACGAGGCATTAATATCCAAAACAGTGATTTATGTATAATAATCTCTAAATATAATATTGTAGATTTCCAGTATTCTACAATATATGCAATTGTAAAATAAGGCTATTGGTGGGGAAATCCGATTACAGAAACAATGAAAATTTGACTGAAAATAAATTATGCTAAACCTTAAATATTTAACATTCATTTATCTATTTCTGATTAGATTTTTTTTAATGATTTTGACCTGTTAATAAAATTTTGATCTGAATTTGAATTAAAACATAGAAGAAATCTAAATATACAAAAAAAAATTTCTGACAATATTTTTGTATGATTTAAAAAATACCATCATAGTTTTCTTTGTTACCCTAAAAGTATGCAATTTTTCATTTTCTAAGAGAATACTGTTGATATTCTTCTCATTACAAATTATGCACTTTATTACTGTTATACGTATGAAAATTTAATTTTTTTTTGAAATTTTTTGAGTAATAATAATAATATTAAATAAATTTGCGAGAAAATGTCAAAAATTTTTCATATTTAATTTTAAAATTTATCAGTTATTCAAAAACAAATTACATAAAATTTTTTTATTTATTGATTTAGGCGAAATAAGTCGATAAAAATATCTAATTAGCTATATTTAAATGATAACAAATCAAAAATTTAAAAATTAAATTAATCTAGAAAATAATTACCATAATTATTAGAAAAATTTTTGTACATCTATAAATTTAATTAATTATTATTGAAAATAACAATTTAGTTTTTAGATTAAAAACAGAATTGTTTTTTTTTTTTTTGTAATTTAACGATAATGCAAAAAAAAATTTTAAAATTCACGATAAAATTTTGTTTTTTTTTTTAATCTAATTACTTTTTGGTAATTTATTACATTTAAATATTAAAATTTTTTTTAAATTTAAAAAAAAATTATACGCTAATTGTAAATTTGTGACTGTTAACTATAAAGTAATAAGGGAATGAGAGCTGAGTCTGTTGTGATGCATGAATACTAACTACCCGTTATTTCAGTACTTGTTATTTCGAAGTATCGAATGGTAACTGGTTTCTCGTAGATTAGGAATACTCGTTATTCATTACTCGCATATAATCCTTCATATTGCCACATCATGTAATCATGGGATTATCAGAATTAATGTGATATTAAGAATGTAACAGATAGATTTTTATCGTATTAAATTTGATTCATATGTTGTTATTGATCACAAGATCGAAGATTAGGGACCATATGTTTAATTGAGGGAAAATTTATGATTTTTTTTACATTTAAATAAGGTCAATTATTAAAGTATGTAAATGCTGGTTTAAAAGTAAACAGAATCCCAACTATAAAATTTAATTATGAATTAAAAAAAGGCATCATTGGATTTTGGTAAAGAACTTCAATATATTTAACTCTTGTTAACTCTTGTTAAAGATATTGTGATAATTTCGGAACCATAGCTCCTATCAGCTTAATTCAAAAAACGTACTCCCCGATTCTGTAATGAAATCTAAAAAAACAACAAAAAATTAAAAAAGTCCCAAAAATTGGCATAATATTTTTTGGCCCCTATATTTCGGGCAAAGTCGAACGGCTTTACTTTTCCTTTTTTTTGTCGCAAATTGATGTTTTTTATCATAACTGCCCGAACTTGTGGTTTCAAAGATACAAAACTTCATTATAGAGCCATAAATGCATTCGTTACTAAAATTATTGGTCACATTTCTTTGATTGTTTCATCATCATAATTTAAATAATACGAAAAAGGCTGTCATTGAAATCACGGTTGTTTTTTAATATGGTTTGAATTGATCAATCACAGTCGCAATCGGTATAATGAAATAATCACAATTTTTTCAATTTCTACTCAGAATATTCTGAATATGCGAAAAAATTTTTTAAAAGTACTTAGAAGTAACGAGTATATTGATAAGTATCGAGTGTTACTGAATAGTTACAAAGTAATTGGACTGCATATCCCTACTAAATGGTTAAATTGTATCCTATGAATTTTATATACTTACATGGTTACAAATTGTATTAAGTGTAATTTGTGTTGAAGGGTAAAACTGAAGAATTAAAAGAATTTTAAAATATTTATGGAAAGTAATCAAAAAAAAAATGGCGACTTATTCTATATAATTTTTCTTACTATTTAAATCGATTTTTTTGAAACGATTTTCATATTTGCAGAAATGGTAAGGTAGTACGATACAAATTGATTGGTACTACCTTATAATTTTTTCCGAATACGAAAAGCGTTTCATGAAATTCGAATTACATATTAGGGCCCTTGATTGTGCTTAAAGCAAAGACAATGTAAAATTATTTTATTAATTTTTATGCTTATGTATTGCAGGTGCAATTTTAGAAATTAGTAAAATTGAGTGGAAGAAAATATGAGGCTTAAATCAATAAAGTATAAGGAGAGCAGTTTCTAATTCAAATATTTGTTAAAATATTGAATTTTATTAACAAAATTGTATTCTCTCCATAATCAATTTATATTAGCTTATATATAACAATTTCTATTTCCTTCCAGACTATAGAGTCATTCAAATCACATAATTAAAGATTCACTTTAATATTTAATAATATTTCTAATTTATATTGCTTATAAATTTAAATTATTTATTACTAAATTAATAGAAAATTGTTATAAGGTTTACCAATTACCAAAAATATATGGTTATTTAAAATGGTATACCAAAAAAAAAAAAGAAAAAAATAATTTTATATTTTATAAAAACGAGTATAAAATCATATTGGAAAAATTCATTCATTTAGAGCTGGTTAATAATAATGTAGAGAACCCTTGAAATAATGAAATGACCTTTTATTCTAGTGAATTTTAGAATTTCGGAAAAAAAAAATTGAACAAAAATATTTCAAATCTCTTAATTACATAAAGCCAATTTACACGAAAAATGTTGGTTTTTTTGGAAAATTTTTTCATTTTTCCTGTTTTCCTCTATAACTATTTTCTTTTTTTTTAGAATTAACCGATAAAATAAATTGAACAAACACAGTTATTCTAACAAAATCTCCATTTTGTTTTTTTTTTTGTTGAATTTTTAGTGGCATTGAACACTGAAAATCAATTGTTCAAATCCACAATTGGTTTTTTTTTCTGTTTTTTGTTGTAATTTATGATGTAATATGTAAAAAGGAAAAAAAAAAAAATTGCAAATGAAAATTTTTATCATTTAAATGCATTTATTAAAAATAAATAAAATTATTTTGCATTTTCTCTATTTTTTTTTGTTTGTTTGTTTTGTTGTTTTTTTGGTTTTCAATCAAAAATATTTTTTTTTTTTTTGGAATTGATAATTCAAAAATATTTTGTATAGAGAAATGCCAATTATTTACTTCATGAAATTGGAAAATTTTATTAATTAAGTGTATGAAAAATTTTTATATTCGAAATATAGAAATGAGAAAGCGTTTCAAAGTGTTTTCATATTTAATTAGTTAGATTTTATAATAAGTTTGAGGTCAAATGCATATTTTCATTGAAATTATTGGGATTTTGTAATTTTTTTTTTGTTTTTAGAATTTAAATTGAAAAATAAATAAAATATTTATGATTGTATGCTCTTGAAATATGAGATTAAATAATAAAATATTGTGAGACAATTTTAATTGGGATTCTTAATGAATAATATGGGTTGTTGTTTCAAAGAACAAATTTAATTGTGATCCAGTAGCTACTTTTAGTACTCGATTAGAATTAAATATTTATAAACCGGGGTCACTAACCGTTTAAGTATTTTATCATTCGCTAAACTCAATAATTTTGTTTAAATTTAATTTTCGGCTGAATTGAACCAATTAATACCCTCTATTGAGCTGATCGACAAATTATATTCATATCTATACAGAACAATTAAAAATTAAAATCTTAAACTCTACAATATATGAAATGGAATTGAATGAGATCTAGAATTTTTGTTGGAATATTCAACGAAAAAGCAAAATAGTAATGGAAAATATTCTTGAATCGTGGTAGGGTTTAATTTTTTGTATTTATCTATACTAACATACACACTCAAATATAAAATCATTAAATTTAATATGAAATTTGATAAAATGCCACATAGTGGTATAAAATGGTTTGTCCAAAAATAATTAATTTTTTTTTTAATTTTAAATTGGCCCTTTCTCTTCCTTTATATAATAAAATATTTATTTTTAATTTTTGTTTTTTTGTTCAATTATAATTAGATCCTGATATTTTCCTTCTATTTTTATTCTATTGACGTGTTTTTAGTGTGATTCCTGCGGATTTCTGATTTACCAAAGACCAAAAACAAAAAAAATGAAAAATTAAGAGGGAAAACCGAACATAAAATGCCAATATTGTAATAAAAACAGGAAAAAATTAGTGAAGACTTTTATTTTTTTCTTTAGTGTAAATTCAACCCGTTTTAATTTTTGGTGCTGTTTTAAATTAGAATAGCCAAACACTCCTTATTAACCCCCCGCTCCCTTATTAATTCAATTTGCATCAAATTGAAAAATAAAAGTATAGGAAGAGTGTTATTCAGTAAGGTAGATGTAAGAAAATTTTAAATTTAGACAACTTAGAAAAGTTAGAAATTCAAACAATTTTTTTTGGCTAAATTTGGAATTTTATGGTGAAGAACCAATATCCTTGAACTCGGAATTATCAGTATTCAGATGAAATTTTGTTCTTTGTGAAAGCCTTGGCAACTTGGGGATGATGCAAAGGGAAACAAAATTGAAATTTTTACAAAATGGCAATTAAATTTAATCATCAAATGCAAAATGCAATGTCTCGAGCCTTACCCAATTTAGAATTC